TAGGGAATGTTTGGACACGATGTGCCTTGTTTTTACTTCTATGCAATATTTATGTCATTATGTTACTTAGTAATAGATAGAATTTTGGGGTGCAGGGATACAGTTTCTTAGACTAAATGTAAGTAAGTAAGATTGTCACTTCTTATGTAAGAATTGCACCGTTCTTCCTAAATAAGTTGGAAAATTGAGAGCTTGAAAGTGCTTTTCTTGGTGTTAATTTTTGCACCTGTTTATGCCATGGCTTGCTCTCTGATGCTCACATGCACTTGACTTTTAGACTTAGACTTAGACTTAGCGAAGGTGAGTTAAACGTAGGGACCGTTAGGAAACGTAGTTAGGGAACGTAGTTAGTAGTCTAAGTGTGTGCTGACACAGGGAGCAAAATCCTGGCCTGCAAAAAAAAAAAATGTTTTTGTATAATCACAAGGCACACCAAAAACTTAGCTAGTCGTCGATGTTCGAGAGGAGCACTTATGTATTGCTGTGGAGAGGACAAGCCAGACCGCCCAGCTGAGATGCCAGAGGTGAGCCATGTGGGGACTGCATGCTGTACTTACATGTACTTTTTTCTCCCTTGACCAGATTTGGGGGTACCCACAAACTCGCGTAGCACTCACGTTGGGTTAGGGCCAAACCATAAATAACCTGTTCTTCCTTTACTCCGGCAACTTATGTCATTTTATTTTTTTTGTCCCACACTGGGGAGGGAAAAGCCTGGTTACCGGGCTAATATTATCCGCAGAGTGTTTATCCTCTCGAGAAATAGGTCTGGTAACCGGGCTATGGGAAACCGGGGTCCTTCCGAAAGGGTCTTTTTTTTCTCTTCTTCTTTAGTTTGACTTTAGTATACAGATCCTGACATTCATCGTTAGAAGTCTCAGTCTTCATTCGAGGAAGGAAGCAAGCTTCGACGAAGACTACAAGACCAGATGAGATTTTTCTTTCTTCCCGTTAAATGTAACGAGTAAGGGTGGGCGACGTTGAAAGACTTTAAGCCAGAGTTTATACTACATACCTTGGGGGGTGGAGTGAATTTGTTACTAACTTCTCTTCCGAAAGGGTTTTTTCTCTTCTTCTTAAGTTTGACTTTGTATACAGATCCTGACGTTCATCGTTGGAAGCAGATCGTGGTCTTTACCATCCAAACTCCTTGTTGTGAGGCTCAGTCTTCATACGAGGAAGGAAGGAAGCAAGCTTCGACGAAGACTACAAGACCAGATGAGATTTATCTTTCTTCCCGTTAAATGCAACGAGTAAGGGTGGGCGGCGTTGAAAGACTTTAAGCCAGAGTTTATACTACATACCTTGTCTGGTCTGAACAGTTTAGTAGCACCCAGAAACAGGGTAAGCGGAAGGGAGTAGGGAGGGGGATGGAGTGAATTTGTTACTTACTTCTCTGTTTTGCCTTGTTCGTCTGTTTTTGCCTTTCCAGAAGACCCCACCTCTTTACGTTGCCAGAGGGACTATGAAGGGAGCCAGCAGAACTTCCTAGGCCAAAATAATTGTCCTTAACTGGTATTCTTTCCGTCGAAGTGCCAGCCTGCCACGTCAGCCAGCTGCGTTATTTAGCGATCTAGGTAAGTTGGAAGGGATGCAGATTTATATTAGATAACAAATATTTTGAAGGTTTATCAATTTTCATGTTTGAATTGATTTGATTTATTGTAACTGTTACAGTATAATAAACGTGGAGCACAGACAGCTGTTGCTGGTGTTGTGCCCCGCACATAGAATATTACAAACGTATACAAAAAATATAACTAGATCTGGTGCTTACCAATAAAAGTAGAATAACATTATGATACATCTAATTTTCCGTTACGTTTCGGATCCTTCCACATTCCTGTATACTCAGTATTTCTTCCACCTCAAACAGCTGGCTCCAAAACGCTCTTCCTTTTGCACACACAGACGCGCCCCCTGATAGCAGAAGATGGTACTGCAGCGCACCACGGGTTCTGGCTGAATCTGAACTGGAAGGATGCCCGGTTGTATGGAGGGACTCATTCCTGTATACCAGACGTCTCCTGAAGTCAACATTCTTCACGAAGACGACTAGACCAGATAAGATTTATCTCTTTTTCCCTCGTCAAACGTAAAGATAGAATAAGGGGGTGGGGGATAGAACATCTTTGTTGTTTGAATAGCTTGGTAATCTATATGTACAGACTGTTTGGGCGTACAATGTACACATGCTTCGACGTCCATTTGCATATTTCGACCTGCGTCTTCAGCTTATGGCTTTGCGTATTTTGGATTTTGCGTGTTTGCCAGCATTTTGAAACTGCTTCTTATTTTGACCTTCAATATCACATTTTGGATTTTTCGTGTTTGGATTCTTCCGTGCCACCATTTTGGAACTTTTGAATTTTGAACTTCATCTTTCCATTTTGGATTTTGCGTGTTTGGATTCTTTCCATTTTGGATTTCGCGTGTTTGGATTCTTCCGTGCCAGCATTTTGAAACGGCGTCTTATTTTTAACTTCATCTTTCCATTTTGGATTTTGCGTGTTTGGATTCCTTCCATTTTGGATTTCGCGTGTTTGGATTCTTCCGTGCCAGCATTTTGAAAGTGTTTCTTATTTTGACCTTCATCTTTCCATTTTCGCGTGTTTGGATTCTTCCGTGACAGCATTTTGAAACTGCTTCTTATTTTGATGACCTTCATCTTTCCATTTTCGATTTCGCGTGTTTGGATTCTTCCGTGCCAGCATTTTGAAACTGCTTCTTATTTTGACCTTCATCTTTCCATTTTGAATTTCGCGTGTTTGGATTCTTTTGTGCCGCATTTTGAAACCGCTTCTTATATTGAACTTCCATTTTCCATTTTGGATTCCATTTTGAATTTCGCGAGTTTGGATTCCTCCGTGCCAGCATTTTGAAACTGCTTCTTATTTTGAACTTCCATTTTCCATTTTGGATTCCATTTTGAATTTCGCGTGTTTGGATTCTTCCGTGCCACCATTTTGAAACTGCTTCTTATTTGACCTTCATCTTTCCATTTTGGAATTCGCGTGTTTGGATTCTTCCGTGCCAGCATTTTGAAACTGTTTCTTATTTTGACCTTCATCTTTCCATTTTGGATGTCGCGTGTTTGGATTCTTCCGTGCCAGCATTTTGAAACTGTTTCTAATTTTGACCTTCATCTTTCCATTTTGAATTTCGCGTGTTTGGATTCTTCCGTGCCAGCATTTTGAAAGTGTTTCTTATTTTGACCTTCATCTTTCCATTTTGGATTTCGCGTGTTTGGATTCTTCCGTGCCAGCATTTTGAAACTGTTTCTTATTTTGACCTTCATCTTTCCATTTTGAATTTCGCGTGTTTGGATTCTTCCGTGCCAGCATTTTGAAACTGTTTCTTATTTTGACCTTCATCTTTCCATTTTGGATTTTGCGTGTTTGGATTCTTCCGTGCCAGCATTTTGAAACTGTTTCTAATTTTGACCTTCCTCTTTCCATTTTGGATTTCGCGTGTTTGGATTCTTCCGTGCCAGCATTTTGAAACTGTTTATTTTGACCTTCATCTTTACTTTTTGGATTTCGCGTGTTTGGATTCCTTCCATTTTGGATTTCGCGTGTTTGGATTCCTTTCATTTTGGATTTTGCGTGTTTGGATTCCTTCCATTTTGGATTTCGAGTGTTTGGATTTTTTCCATTTTTGATTTCGCGTGTTTGGAGTCTTCCATGCCATCATTTTGAAATTGTTTCTTATTTTGACCTTCATCTTTCTATTTTGGATTTCGCGTGTTTGGATTCTGTCGTGCCACCATTTTGAAACTGTTCCTAATTTTGACCTTCATCTTTCTATTTTGGATTTCTCGTGTTTGGGATTCTTTCCATTTTGGATTTCACGTGTTTGGATTCTTTCTATTTTGGATTTTACGTGTTTGGATTCTTCCGTGCCAGCATTTTGGAACTATTTCGTATTTTGACCGTCATTTTCCCAATTTGGATTTTGCGTGTTTGGATTCTTCCGTACCAGCATTTTGGAAGTGTTTAGTATTTTGACCTTCATTTTCACATTTTGGATTTTGCGTGTTTGAATTCTTCCGTGCCAGCATTTTGAAACTGTTTCTTATTTTGACCTTCATTTTCACATTTTGGATTTCGCGTATTTGGATTCTTCCGTGCCAGCATTTTGGAACTGTTTCTAATTTTGACCGTCATTTTCACATTTTGGATTTTGCGTGTTTGGATTCTTCCGTGCCAGCATTTTGACAAGAATCGGCCAGTTCTACTCAAGCAAGAGACGATTCCGGTGAGTTATGTTTCTTCAGACATCTAGGAATAGGGAGGGAGGGAGGAATAAATGACAATAACATTTTCTTTGCCTTTCCAGCCTAGCCTTTAACTGAAACTCTCTAACGTGTATCCAGGAATATTCCAACCAGGATTTTTGCTTGACCATGGACTGATTCTAATTGGCTCTCAGTTTCGGTAACCTTGACGCTCATCCTGACATGCCCACCAACAGCTTATGTACGTTATCGGGTGGTTGTGAACAGGATGACGTCCCAAATTTCCTCAGCAATGGAGGTACACCTTGACGTGGTGCTGGGGCTTTTGCTAAGATGCCTCCAACAAAATCAAGTAAAGATAACACGTTAAGCTGTGATATACTACAAAGGGGAGGGGACGGTCTTGCAAGGATTGGACTGCTCAGGTATTCCAAACACTCGCTGGTGAAGGTGAGACATCCAAGTGATAAGATACGCCAAAAAACAGCAAAGATTACTTGGTATGTTACGAACGTGTTGCAGATTGACTTTATCAAACAATGTAGCAGACGTATCCGGACTTTGACCTTTGCTCTTAAGTAAACTTACCCGTACAGTATAGGCATAGTAAGGTCACGAGTGCTTAAAAAACCGGCGTAGTTACCTCAGCTAGTGTGCCTTCCCTGAAGAAAAGAAGGGACTGTAAGTTGGTTATAGTACACCCCAGGCTATACTATACCTCATATATGTATCAAGAAGCACCTTACGAAGTTAGCACCTAACTATGAGCTCCAGAAAGGCGACGTATTCTTCAACTGACGTGGTGACACAGGAACAGAAGCTACCAGACAAACCAGAAGAGGGAAACAATCGTAGTTACCAAATGGGGACAGGTGACAGGAGACGGCTGATGACCATCGTCCATGTGACCAGTGTTCTGCACCACATGTGTGTGACCATGGACGGTGGCGCTCTACCGGTAAGTTTCCTTCAATGTTTGTGGCAACGTATTATGTGACTGTTTGTGGCAAATGTCAATGTTTGATCTGTAGAAAGGTATAGAGAAGTAAATTACTGTTTTATGACGGCCAGAAAGTTGGGAAATGAAAAGAATGAATTTTCATACAATAACTGATGGTAGGGTTCCTGTTTCTTTAGAATAAAGCTGTTTGTCTTATTGTGGCTATGTTGATATTGCATCATTCCGACCTTTGTACGTCACACACTACCTATTTATCAAGGCATGCGTTATAACGCTCCATGCTGTTGTATGTGTGCGTGTGTGTGTATTTTTGTTAACATGTGTACAAACTGATCGATGAACTACAGTCAACTGTCAACTGCGTATAGGGAATGTTTGTACGTGTGTGTGTGTGTTTCTGTGTGCAGATATGTGTGCGTGTGTTATACGCTGCGCAATCTGAACTACAGTCAACTAAAATTTGACCACCCCCCCTCCCCCCCTCTTGCATGCAGTATCTAGCCAAACGTCTGAACATCAGCAACACGCTTTGGGGCCACCTCATCACCACCGCCGCCCTGCTGCAGTTCACTGGAGGGCCGCTAGTCGGTCGGTTCGGTGACGTGTACGGAGGACGGATGTCCCTAACCCTGTCCTGCGTTGCCTTGGCAACGACGGCGGCCATGTTGTCAGTCTGTACTTCATTCCAGGGTCTACTCTTCTCCAAATTCCCGTCTGTTTTCTCACATGTGCCTACAGGTAAGCCTACATTAAGATTTTTACCAGACGTCTATCACCATGGTAACTGGTGTTGGGTTACATATATATATATAATGTTGCAATTTTATAGCAGGACCGATTTAGACTCTTGTCATGTATATATGAATGTGTTTTTTCACGTAACATATGTTATTTATTTTAGGTCATCATCGGAAACGATGGACAACCAGAGAGAGAGAGAGATGTTATTTATAACAGAGAAATTATGCAAATAAGAGTCTAATTTGCATATTCAACACGTTTTGTGTTCTCTCAGGCCTTCGGATGGTGATTTCTGACGTCACTGATGACGCATCACGTTCCACGGAGCTCGGAACGTTACGGATATCAAGTACTGTCGGTAACATGGTCGGGTCGGCGGTTGGAGGGGTTCTGACTGAAACATACGGGTAAACATACGCTGGGCTTTTATGCTGTCAACTAGTTGTTAAAATTGACTGTATTAGATATGCATCAATGGTGGCCCTGTGCTTGGGGTCAGAGCAACAACCTAGGAAAGCTTTTTGTATGGCCCGTATGGTTCTTAAAAAAAACCATACGGGCCATACAAAAACACGTAAAATACTTAAACACACGCAAACACACACACGCAAACACACACACAAACACATACACACAAACACACACACACACACACGAACTACCTAGTAAGTTATACCTATAAACTAGCGTGCCGTGATACTGACAGATTTCAAGTTTTGTTGTAGAAAGCATCAGAGTGTGTTCATTAGTTGTAAATGATCTCTTTACAGGACGACGACGACATTTCTCTTCACCGCCATGTTGTCCTGTGTGTCAGCCCTGCTAGTCTGGATTTACATTCCTGTACAGACTAAGCAACATGGTGACAAGAACTTGTCTACAACAAGTAAGCTGAGCATGAATGTTCATCTAAGTTTAAAGTTAAAACTGTTCTTTCAACACAAGAGACACATGTAGTTCTCAGCAAGAGCTTTTAACCAGTCAGTCATTCCGAATAACATATACATAATGCATTTGCCTTATAGTAATATGTTGTTCCTGTTCGTTATAGATATAAACTAGGGTACAGTAGATATTAGAAATACATTACTGTTCGCTAACTTGCCATACACTGCACCCATTACAATTGCTGTACAGTAAAGTTAATGTATTGATTTATTTATTTCTTGATCGAACGCGTTCGAATGGTGATTGAATATTCTGCACATTCTTAGAAAGAGAAATTGTCAACTTTCAAGAAATCGCGAGGCTGCTGAAAATCCCAGCTGTGGCGCATCTCCTGGGCATCACGTTTGCCTTCATCCTGGCGAACATGATCGTCGTCAACGCTTTCCCCATCATCCTGAGAGACACGTACGGGATGGGGCCGCAAGAAGCTGGCATGTTTACCATGTATAACAGCATGGCTTCAGTGGTGAGTGTACACTACATTCTTCATAAAGTTTACCGAAGGAAAACATATAGTTTTTGCTGTATCCTCTTCTTCTTCTTCATCTTCTCCAAACCAATAAGGTCAATGATCTGAACCAGACGTCTGTCCCCATGGTAACCATTGTTGGGTTACCATGTTGCAATTTTATAGCAGAAGGGATTTAGACTCCTGTCACTGGTAGTGTATTTAGCCAAGCACACTAGTTAACTGTGTGGGTTTTTTTACCGAGCAGTATACTACATTAAAATGGAAAATTACCGCCTAGTAACATTTGGTAACCATTTCTTGTATTTTTTTCAGTTCTTCCAAGTGGTTTTGATACGTCCGCTGACCGGACGTTACAAGGACTTTCCTCTGATGATGCTGGCTTCTCTGGTGTTGACTACTTCTTACGGGATTGCTGTGAGTTCATGTTTCAAAATGTTTCATAAAAAATCGTGTTATAATGTAACGTTATATTATAGTTGTAACGGAGTCAAAGTAATATACTAGTAGTAGCTTTACCGACTGAACCATTTGCTTCACGATTTACGTTTTCCGGCCTACGAAAAAACTGCTTGCGTCACAGGGACTGATTGCATCATTTTCGCCAACATTCGAACGCATCGATCGCGTTCGAATGTTCGAATGTGTGCACGAAAACGCAGATTCTTAGAACGCGTTCGAATCATTAAATGATGAAATCACTTTCAGTTATGGAAGCAAGTTTTTGTGGTCAGTGGAAGAGTAGACTGTGAAGTCTGTGTTTCTATGTAGATCATAAAAATGTCCCAGCACTGAAAATACGTGTTGTTTTACAGACATCTATGACGGAGAAGTGGCACCTTTACGTTTACGCTATCACCAAAAACTTCGGAGTTATCCTGAGGAATGTTGTCATCGTGGCAGCCTTGTCAAAAGCGTCACCTAGAGAGGACACAGGTACTGCAGGCATGCACAGAACCAGAAATTGTTTTGTTTAAAAAAGTTATACAGAAAACTGAGATTTTTAACTTGATACAATTTCAAAGTGGCTATCAAAATATTCCTCTACGAATTCAAACGAACATTTTAATCTGTATACAGATACGCCATCTTCAAAGTTAAGACAACAACTGTAGAACTATCCGTAGAATTGTAGAACTATACCATGTTTCTAATAATTTTATTACCCTGTGTATCCGACCATTTGTTTCATATTGAATTTCACAGACATATTTTGTACATCACTGTGTATTCTACCTTTCTGCGCAGGCGCTGTGATGGGTTTGTTATCGATGGTTGCGCATCTGACGCAGGTCGTCTCTCCACCAATCAGCACCTATGTTCTCGATCACGTGGGTTACCAGTTTTTAGGAGCTACCAGTGCCACTATGACTACCATGGTGGCGGGGTTCATACTACTGAGGAAGGAAGAATTTCGATGAGGGCGTGTTAAATATGCTGTAAAAAAGCTTCCTGGACTACCATAAGCTTTTGTTTTAGATTTAATGGTTGATACATGGATGTTTAATTGTTTTGTGAACGATAGATATATTGATAACGTTGTGTCCTTGGGAAAGTCACTTTACACAATTTTCCACACCACAGCCAGGTGTAAAATGGGTACTACCTTACTTCAGTTGTGGAGGGAAAAGGTGGTAGAAGGAGAGAGTTCTGGCTTCCAGTACCGTGCCCTAAACAGTGGACTAACATTCCACTGTCCCTACGGCCTGATAATACTGGTATATGTAGGTCGTATTAAACACAACAAGCAAGTGGATAAATTCTCAAAGCATTACACGTTTCATGTAGCATCTGCTTTTTTTAATAGACTGTATTAGCCATGACTAATCTATATGGCTCACTGTTGAAAGAGAGAGCTTTCTAACAGACTCATTTAGTTATAGTTCCTCCATATGTTTTAGAAACCTGCATCAAATCCCAACTATGGGCATAGTTTCCCACAATAGCGTTCAAGAGTGATCTTGATCAGAACTGGTTACAATATCCACCACACATACTTCAATTAGCTTTAACTCAATACACTGTGCGATACATTAAAATACGCAAAAAGTATGTCATAAATGACAACGCTACCTTCTAATTCCATAAATACATGTCACTTTGCTTCTATTTGTCTATTTATTTATCTTTCTGTCTATCATTCTGATAACTTAGCCTTTAGATACTTAGTTTCATGCAAAACATACAAACAAGCATTGGAGACTTAGTCAGCAAAGACCAAAATACTAGTAGTCAGCTAAACGATCTGTTTAGATTTTAGGCAAATATATGTTCGAGTTAGATGTTAGTTCGCTGAAACCACGGCTAATTTTAGGAAGCATATCCATGGAAAATCGTCTTTCCATAATCGGCCTGTTTCTCTTGCCCTTAGACGAAGACTCTTTGACCTTCTTGGCAGCGTCTTCTGCCGTTATCTTAAAGAAGGAAGCAAACTTAAGATCGTAAGGATTTGCCGTCATGTCTTCGTTCTCATACACGTCGAAAAGGATCACCATGAAAATGCTCAACAAAATAAACTGCATGACAACCTGGTACAGGAAGAACGCCAGCGGACCGAGTATTTCATGGCCCGATGACAAGGCATCAAAATCGTAACTTCCCATCATCATAAGTAGAAGACTCTTTAGAGAAGAGCTTATGCTCTTGTACTCATTGCTACTCGCACCTTGGGTTAAAGCCATCAACAAAATAAAAGCCATCAAAACAATAACTACAGTGAACATAAAATGAGTAAGGGGTTTAAGCGATTTTCCCATGATGACAGACAAAGCGTGTACGTGAGAGTTGAAGCGAAGAAGGCGGATAAACTTTAACGTAGCAAAGCTGATGAGCAGCCCCTGCAAGTAGGTTGAGGTTTGTAGCCAGCTGACGGCGCTTTTGTACAGGTGAAAGGACGAGTTGCCGTTCTTCCGATGTTCTGCGACCTCGTCTATGATGTTTTGTGTTTTGAAGTAAATGCCGATTGTGGAAAAACCAATGGTGATGACTGCCATCTCCACCCAGCTCCAGAACTCCAACAGATACTCCAGCGGTCGAGACAATAGGGACTTCCCTGGGGTACATAAAAAAATACAAGGCAATCAAAGAGAGCAGATTAAACCCCTTTGGTAGGAAGCAACCTCTGGCAGGAAATAAAGAAGTGCACCGCAAAAGCACTAGCCTGGTGCTCATCCTATTCTAGCTTAGGTTGCCCCTCTGATGGCTAAGTTTCTTGCAGAATGTTCTGTGGCGAAACGATCAGAAATAGACTAGAGCTAGGCTACAGAAATACAGACAGGCAGACACACACACAATCTTTTCAACAATTCATGTACTTAACTTATTTACAACAACTTCACCAAACTAATTTGTGATAAAGTCATGATAGCGTTATAAAATTTGCAATCCTCGTGTTCTTTTCATTGTACTAAACGAAGCAGTAACTTAAAGGAAAAGCATCTAATTGGCAGTGAATTTCATTGCACGTACCTTCGCGAAGAACGAAGTAGAGTAGAAACAAAGCCAGCACTCCTCTTAGGACCAGAAGCAAGATGGCGTCATGTTGGATCAGCCGCACGGTGATGACCTCTGAACTCTTGTAAACTGATCCCAGATTGGTGAACTCAACGACCAATGAGATGACAGAAAACAGGTTCACATGTGGGTTGTACAGGATAAGCTCGATGAAAAGTGCCCGGGTCTTTTCGTCCAACCAGTTTTGCTCTTGAAGGAAGGTAGCCTCATTTGTTGATGCAAGCTGGGTAATGTAGCCAGCACCAATGTAGGAGCCATGCGTTCCGAAATACGGAACATCTACATGAAAACAAAGAAAGGAAGAGTTGAATAAAAATAATCAAATACGTAAATAGCAGATACGCTGCTCTGAATCAGCAATACATGCCTGGCAGAGATTTTTCCATCTGGTTTTGGAATCCAAAACAAGAGATACAAAAGCTGTTCTAAAGTAACAAGAAAAGCCACCGGCCAACAAGTTACAATAGTCTTGATAGTTGAAGCCAATAGGCAGTTGACCTTATAACATGGTCTAACCTTCACCGACATACCTTACGACATGTTAAATTTCTGTTGTGCAATTAACAGCAAAAAATTCTACTAAAAACGTAACATTCTTGGCGAAGGTAAGACTAGTACATAACATATTAGATTTCAAACTTTTGTTGCAAAAAAGTGAACAAACTTTTACCATCAGTGAGTGAAACAGAGGTGTGTGTCCACGGGCTTGTGTTACCATCACAGTCGTACAATCCAGGAAATCCCTGAGCGTTGGGAGAGTCACAAACATGGCCGTCTTGAGTCGCGTTGGCTGTAGTGTTGAGAAGAGCCCAGCCTGTGGTGTAGTTTTGTGAGTCTGACAGGCTGAGGGAGAACGGCACACTACAGCGGGGGGTGACGTTCAGCATTGGCTCGGGTGGTTCGCAGTGTTGCCCTGCAAAATGCCAATTGTACAATTTTACTTAGTTACTTAGTTCAAGCTCCCGCTCGAAACAATTCTGAAAGTCTCCTCCATAGCACTTGGTCTTCCATGGCCCTTCGCAATTTGTTAGTATCATGCATGTCAGTGTCACATAGTTATCTAAGTAGGTGACTCTCGGTGTCCCCATGGGAGCTCCCAAAGAACCAGGTGGGATACAGGAATTCATCTTACAAAGATTTAAAACCTTATATGCATACATGAAACAGGTTTCGACCAGTCCTCCGAATATTCCTGAAACCTCACCTGGTGTAAGGCGCACCTGCCGAAGTTGTACCGGCCCGAGCGGGTGTGAGACCATGTCGCCCAGTACCGCGGCCGTATCCACCCGTCCATTGTACCAGCTCACGGTGTGCAGGGCAGGCAGCAGCCCGGTTGTTGTCCAGCTCCAACACGACGGGATGTCACTGATCTGATAAAGATATAGCTTGGTTATTTTGTAAAGAAGGTAAAATTCACCTTCTGGTTTAATGTATGCTCTATAGATTTCAAGTGTGGAAAGATAGTCATATATATTCCTATAAGGAGCTGGATATATGGATAAGAGACGATGCTGTAAGTTTGAAATGTATTGTACATTGAAAATTTTGTACTTATGTGATCCCTGACATCCCCCTTACACTCTCGGCCGTGGTCGCTTTTGAAGTGTTTAACACATCAAGGTTAGATAAAGGTAGAGAAAGAAACTGCAACTGTGCCTATAGCCACCAACAACTTAGGAACACAAAATTAGCTAACTTGATGCAAAATGATGTTGGTATGTGATTAAGTTATGCAAAAACAAAAAAAAAATGACACAATATCAACACAACAAAGCGACTTTAAAAAGAGGAAGTCCACTAGATTACGGAATTACCTCAAAGAACCCAACGTTGCCACTTTCAAGAATCTGCCTCTCCACATTCTGAGTCATGTAGAACGCCATGGGACTTCTCTCCCCGTAGGAGACCGCCATGATGATGATGATAAAGACCCCGAACATGAGGACCTCCAGCACAGCGGCGCGACGTTTGCGTTTCTCTGCGCTCTTTTGGCGCTGTTCCGCTAAAGTGGATTCGTCTGGCGGTGAGTCCAGACAACCGGATTCGGGGGTCTACCGAAACGAAATGAAACTGCCTGAATTCCTCCACATACCACCCACTTGCTACTTGGCTTGAACTCCCTATAAATCATCAACTGTCAAAATAACCTTCCATCCCCATGCAATCGCCGCTACTTGGACAAGTAAACACAAAGCTCAGTCACCCAAAACAAAATCGCAATGCCTGGAAGTAATTAGCTGCGTTTAGATGTCAGGAAACATATTACCTACCTCTTTATTGTGTGTATCGAATGTTGCCCAGCTCTCTCTCCAGATGTAATGCCTCCATCCTAAAGTTGATCTCCACAGTTTTGATGTGTTCTTCGTCTTCTAGAAGAAAATAAATCACAAAAGTCCTGACCGAATCTAGAGTTAGGTGTGATAAGGTAGGGCAAGCCACTACAGCATAATGCAAGACGCTGTATGATAAAGCAAGGTGCCTGGACACTACTACATGTAGTATGACACAAATCAAGACACTACGAAAACACACTATAACATAATGTAAGGCATTATAAAACAATGCACGACACTAGATCACAATGCAACACACTAACACAAAGCAAGACACACGTGCACACACGAAACAAAACTTTCATGCAAAGTAAGATACTCTTAAGATTACGCACCATATCGCCTGAGCCGCCTTGTTTTTCTTCAGACTGAAGAAACTCCTCATCAGGCTGGAGCGGTTCTGCCGGAGGGTCCTCATCTTCAACCGGTTTCTGTTTCAGTTGGACACATAATGGAGACATAAACAACTTGTCACAAAGACGTTTTGTGTAAGATTGCAAGGCAACATTTGCAAAGCAAAA